TATATCAAACAGTTTTTATCTAACAGTTTATCCTTTTCTATCGCACAAGGAAAACACCAGCTAGTTTAGAGGAAACTACCACTTTGTTATTCCACAGGAGAAACTATCTGTTAGTTTACATCCTAAACAGGGTTAGAACAAAAAAAAAAGGCAGCAAAAAGACTGGTGGGTTATTTGCAGGCTGTGAAAATGGAGGAGATCACAGCAGCAGACTGAGAGACATAAATAGGCAGAGTCGCTCATTCGCATCCAACGTCACATACTCCGGCTGCCACCCCTCACCCACCACTCAGTCCTGACTGTGAAGCCACATTCAAGTGGGCTGGAATCCCTCTGTTTACGCTGCTAAAAATAGATTTCACACACTGAGATGACGTGGCTTCTCGTGATGAGGCCCCCCCCTCATGCCCTCTTCCCAGTTATTGGTATGCAGCTCTCAGCCGGCCTACATGCCAACTCTCCTCAGATCCATAGATCTAAAAGAGAGAGAGATGGGTGGATATATAAAAAAGGGAAGTTAATCAATACTATGACTCATTCTTTCTGTGGCGACCACTTCCTGACAGCATTCACTGAAGCAAACCGAATCATTTCGGGTCAATAATCAGCTCCATCTTCTACCACTCTGCCTCACACATCCGTGTGACTCCTCCATGCTAAAGAGAAGAGAACACGCCACTTCTCAAACCGTTTGACTGAACAAGAGAACAACAGCTTCAAAAGCCCTCACCGGTTACGTCTGATGCTTCAATATTTGCATTTGCCTTGCACTACATCATGTACACACGCCAGCTTCAGGGCCAAAAACGAGCATAAGTACCGATGACTCATCCTGCACACCAGGGCGTACGCTACCGGCAATTCTAATGGGAAAAGGACCAAGTTTCCCGCCTGGTCTTTTTTTGAAAGAGTGAAAAGAAATGAAGGATGTGTCTCGTTTTTTCCAGCGGTAGCTTGGATGGGATTCTCCCAGGCTGTCAGGGAAAAGCCCTGGTATTACAGCTACAGATGATGTAGAGGAAAAAAGGGCGTGGTTCATGCCATCTTTGAATAGTCTAGGCTCATTCAGGAGCTTAACTTGTACATGAACAAGAGTGGTGAGCAATTACAGCTGCCTAAGGATGTGGCATTGGATACAATGCCACAGCCTTACATCTTTAGCCATTCTTCTTTGCAGTATCAGGTTGGATGGAGGCATCTGTCGGTCATCTTCAGATCTGTCCAGAGCCGTTCAATCAGATTCAAGTCTGGACTTTGGCTTGGCCGCTCCTTTGAGATCTCATGCCAGGAGTATTGGGTTGTTGTCTTGCTGACAAATTAACCGTTGCCCCAGTCAGAGGTCAAGATGCTCTGGAGCAGGTTTTTTATCAAGGATGTCTTTGTACAGTGACTAGTCTGTCAGTATCTGCTGCGGCAAAACAGCCGCATAGCACGATGCTGTCACCACTGTAGGGATAGTAATGATCGGGTGATGAGTTGTGACTGGTTTCCTTCAAACAAGACGCCAGGCATTCACATCCAAGTGTTCAGTCTTTGTCTCATCAGATCAGAGAATCTTGTTTCTCTTGGTCTGAGAGTCCTTTAGGTACATTTGGTAAAGATAGGGTGCCATTAGCTTTTAATTAAGGAGTGGCTTTTGTCTGGCCGGCCTATCATGCAGGCCAGACGATTGGCAGATCGCTGCAGAGCTGGTTGTCCTTCTGTAAGGTTCTCCTCTCTCTACAGAAGAACGTTGGAGCTCTGACAGAGCAACCATCGGGTTCTCGGTCACCTCCCTGACTAAGGCCCTCCCCTCCAGATCCTTCAGTTCAGACGGCTGGCCAGCTCCAGGAAGAGTCCTGCTGGTTTCAAACTTCTTCCACTGACCAATGATGAAGACCACTGAACTCACCGGGACCTTCAGAGCAGCAGAAACGTTTCTGGATCCTTTCCCAAATTTGTGCCTCAAGACAATCCCGTCCCAGAAGTCCACAGAAAAATCCCTTGATCTCCTGCATTGCCAGCTGTATAGACAGGTGTGTGCTTTTCCAAATCAAGACCAATCAGCTGTCTTTACCACAGGTGGACTCCGGTTTGGAAAAAAATGCTCAACCTAAAAAGCAACATTTTTAAAATACAACTCTTTATTGCAAACACTCTGATATTAAGGTGGAATTATTCCGTTCTTCATCCACTTCCATTGGTTTGTCTGTTTCAATACCTACAGTAGGGTTAATCTTCTGCTGAACAGTACATAGACCACAAGACTACACAGATTGCCTTGCGGTGTATCAACCATTGCGAATTGCTGTGATTCCTAGCATTTCCCTGGCATTTGGGGCTTTCCAAGTATCGAGTATGTTTCCTGGAAAATTTTGGCTTCTCCGAAGCGTCTTCCTGAATAAGTTAAGAGGCCGTGTCGGATTACACAACCAGCTTCTGCAACGTTTTCACCTTTAGATTCTAGTAACTTTAATGGCAGGAGTGTTGCAAGAGTCAGATGAAGCGACATGTTTCTAAGGAGTGAGCAAAACAGAAAAATATTTCTATGATTTATTTGACAAGTAAATGTTTTATAACGTAGTTGCATAATAAAATGCATCCAGAAAGCAAACACAGTGCATCCTAAAATTGATTAATTTCTTTCTTCTTTTTTTTTCTAAAACATTTCAAACTCTTTGGTATGAAACTGAGCTCAGGTGGATCCTGTTTCCACCATGAAGTCAAATAAAGACTTTAGAAACTGGATTGCCCCAAAGCACAAATCTGGGGGAAAGACACAGAACTACTGAAGAGTTGAATGTCCAAATAAGCCAACATGGTCTTTACTATTAATAGTTAGTAAAAGTTTTAAATCACTAGAACCATCCCTAGATCAGGATGCTAGACCAAATTTTGCATCTTGGCCAAAGAGGTAACAAAGAACCCAATGGTCACTAAGGTGGAACTCCAACGTTCTCCTGTGGAGACAGAAGCACCTTGAAGGCTAACGATTGCTAATGTAATCCAACGAGCAGAGCGTTTTGGTAGAGCGGTCAGATAGATCTAATAGTCAACTTGAATTTTGCAGAAACACATCTCAGAAAAGGATCCCCAACTCCTGTCCTGCAACCCTTATGTGCATCGTCAAATGACTGAGGTATCTCCCAACATGTCTTTGCACTTTGGCTTTACACAGTTTGGCTAATTTTTCCAACACTATGACCCAGAGCACACAGAAAGATAACAAAAGAGTAGTTTCAGGAGCAGTGTGAACGTCTTTCCGTGGTCCAATCAGAGCCCAGACTTAAATTTAATTGATCATCCATGGAGAGACCTAAAAGTGGCCGTCTACTGCACAGACAACAGCATTCAACCACAGAAATACATAATTTTTCCAGTGGCTCTCACAAGTCTACACATCTCAGTTAGAACTTTAGTTTTCCAACACTTAAAACAAATTAAGGCCAGATTAAAGCATTTAATCTTTTAATGTGCACTATTCAGCTGAAACCCCCCCAACAACATTTAAATGGTTCAGAAGAAGCATCCCAGATCCAGACAACTGAGCACTATTATGATAAAAAAAAAAAATCATCAACCACTAAAGTAAAACCTTCAAAGTTGCACACAAAAGCCCAAAAGAGGCGTTGAAACATCTCCTTATATTCCCTCAGATCCGCAGCAGTGCAGTCATCTGCAGCTGCAGGTCAGCCAGATTTCTGAACTCTCCACCGGTCAGCTGCTTTGTTGTGCTCACCATGTGACCAACGCTGCCACAAATAAGCGCCTAACCAGTGAATAGCAGCGTCCGTATTATGCTCCTAATTAAAGAGAGACATCAGAGGTTGATTAGCAGTGAAAAGGGCTGTGTTAAAGTAAGACCACCAACCTACAGGAAGCTCCCCGGCGCTCGGCCGGTCACGTCGAGAGGACGAACCTGCTGCCAGGTGATGTTTGTATCCAACAGTGGAAGTTGCGCATCCTGCTGCTGCCGCTGCCGCCTCCCCGCAGCGTTCTGTCCCCGTGGTTCGTGTCCGCCTGTCGCGGCCTCACCGCCTCCTCCACCGCGGCGCCCAGCTGCTCTGTCCGGGTATCCGTCTCGGCGCTGCGCCCTAAGAACCGGCCGAAGATAACCTGATGTTTACACCGTCACAGCTAAACGCAGGATCTGCCGCCTCCTGTAAGAGAAGGGAAGCGCGCCCCCTGCTGACACACGGGCGTATGTTTGTGAAGCCATCCTGCAGTGTAAAAACATTCCGTACAAAAAATCAGCTCATTCTTTAATATGCAGTAATATTAGCCAATATATTAAAATAATACATATATTACTAGATTAACAGCTGTTAATCTAGTAATATATACTGTGAAGAGAAAACGTTTACTTTTCAAATGCATATATTAAAAGTTTGTTAGCACAGGTACTTTATTTAGAAATGGTTATTTTTGAGGAATACACTGTTTAGTGGTCATTTCATAAGTGTTATTTCAGTTTATTAATATGTTTAATATATATTAATATATTAATATATTAACTGTTTTGATGGGCTGACTTCATGTCAGGCCATAAGGCAGACTGCAGACAAATCCTATTCAATTAAATTGACAATTTGCTCAAGCGTTATGTGTGACCAGAGGTAGGTACTGGTAATTACTTGAGTAACTTTTGTGAACAATATTTAAGAGAAATTATTTTGTGTATATAGAAAATGTTTTAGGTCTTTGAGTTCAGCTCATGAAAAATGGGAGCAAAAACAAAAGTGCTACGTTCATATTTTTGTTCAGTGCATGTTAAAAGATGAAATATTGTCCTTTTTTAATTTTGATTAATTTTTGTCTTGTACCCCCTTGAAGAAACCCTGTTTAGCAAAGTAGCCAATAATGGGTTACAACGTACTCACAATTCATTGCTAAAGTAAATTTGTGTAGGTCACTGGGCCCCAGTTGGCCCCCATCTAGAACAGCCCATGCCTCAACCTGGAGATGGCGCTTTGACAATAGTAATGTATCATTCTGAGCTTATAAACGAAATGAGTGCCAACTCTACTTCTATAAAAGAAGTTTATTGTGCAGTAGCATTGCAGGTCCATTGGAAACATGTCATTGTAGGAAATCGACATGGAGGAAAGGAAACAGTGCAAGGACTCCATACACAGTGGAAACAGATGGAGACTCAGTGAAAAGGTTGGATGCTGGTTTGACTGACTGGTTGATCTGCTGCTGCAGAAATGAAGTCATTCAGGAAATAAACCAATGAAAATAAAGTTTTTTCATTCAAGTAAACACATATTTCCTTCAAGTTCAAAAAGTTTGGCCCAAAGCGAAATGTACAGACAATTAAGAAAAAAAACAACTGATATGTAAAACCATGAATGTAATGTCAAATAATTGTACAATTATCAATAATAAAAAAAAGGCAGTGATGTTTCGTGCATGAATGTCTTGTGAATGTGTCTTCACATCTTAAACTCAAGCTAATTTTAAAATCTCTTCTTCATTGTGGTAAAACATCACATTATTACTTTTTTCTCGTGACTAAAAAAGTAAATGACTTTACAAATCTGTGCTGTACTAAAAAATATATTCCAAAAAAAGCTCCGATATTTTCCCGACGCGTAAAAAAATATCCCAGAGTAATGTTCGATCATACGTATAAAAACATGGTGAGCGTGTTCGATGTACAGGTGAGATCATGGCAAGGCGATTCTTCAGAAGACAATCAGTGCCGTTTGTCGAGTCGAGACACCGAGCTGTGGCAGAGGTCAGAGGTCGCTATGTGTGGGCAGAAGAACGGAGGACATGGAATCGCTTCAGAGTCATCCGGATGGAGCCCAGCTCGCGGTTCAGTCTCTCCAGACGATTCTCTAAGGCCACCTGATGGAAGGAAACAGTAAAATGCTTGAAGTAACAACTTCAACCCATAAAGGAAAACGGTAAACATTGTCTTCTCCAGGTTTCAACAACTCAAATTTAAGACTTTTTAAGACCACTACGAATTTAACATTAAGATCTGTATCTCTGCAGAAATGGATAAACTTTGTCCAGCCAACTGGTGAGAAATTTGCACTTACCCATTATAGATGCAAAAAGCTAGACACCTAGTAAGTGTATATGAGCAGCTAGCTCTGAGTGGCATTAGTGATGTCATGAAGATGTCTGAGGTCTACTCAAAATTTTGCCAGACAGAAAGGTCCCGCGACGAAAAAAGAAAAGAAAGAATGCATTGAATATGCAAGATTAAATAGTCGTGTCAATACAAAATTTAGAACTTCTAAGTAACATATTTAAGGCCAACTTAGTATTTAAAAATGAATTCAAGACATTTTAAGGCATTAATTTAGATACATGAACTTTTTAAGCAGACCTGGACCCCAACATATCAATTCTCAGAATAAATAGATTAGATTAGTTTTTAACATATTTTGAGAGTGGCAATCTATTTTATTATTGTGACTAAGATTTTATGATACATTTAATATTGTGTATAATGTTGCATCATACTGATGATTAAATTGTTCTTATGATATTCTCAGTCTTATCCATATGCTTAAGCAAGAAAACCCTTAAGTGAAATATTTCACTTATTGTTTCAATACACTAATTGTTTCCAATGTTATTTTAATATAATAAAACAGGAAATGAACTTTGTTTTAGGAGTAGTCAGTTTATAATTGTTTTCTGGCATCTCACCTCATCTAATCGGGTCTGCAGGCTCACTCTGCCACCTGCTCCAGGCATCCTGCTCAGAGCTGCCTCAATCTGCACACACACACACACACACACACACACACACACAGATAAAGCAGTGAACACACTGAAACTCAATAGATCAGAATAAAGGCAGGAGGAGGGATTGAAATGAGCGACCCACCCTATAAACCTCTTACGTAACCAGCTGAACGCGTGGTTAGAGCCGCACCTTAAAATTTATCCTTCGGAGATTAAAAAATAAAGAAACTAAGATGCATCAGACTCTCCAACACACCTGCAGTTTCTCCTGCGTCAGCTCATCAAACAGTCTTTCGGCCTCAGTCAGTGACTGGGTTCTGTCCAGGGCCAGCAGAGCCGGGTCCTCTGAGGGGTCCGGCTGCTCGGGGCCGCCGCCGTCCCTCTGCTGCTCCCAGCCCAGCTGGGTGCTGTTGTCCAGTGGTTCCATGCGGCCCCAGGGCTCCGGCTCCTGGCGCTCTGAGGAAATAAAACAAATCAAATCAACAGAATCAACAGAAGAAGAATCTACATTTATAACCAGACACAAATATTAGGTTTTCAGAAAGGGCGGAGTTCCAGATGGTTAAAGGTTTCGTTTCTCAAACAAGGCGTAAAAACAAAAATAACTTAGATGTGTTCTAAAATAAATAAACATGCCCAGAATACAATAGTAGAAAACAAAATAAAGCTTTAAGCTAGCGTGTCCCGCCCATCAGGGTTTCCAGGATTTTGTGCGTTACCTTTCTCTTCTGCTGATGTGAAGTGGAGTCTCTTCCTGGGACTGCTGCTGTGGAACGAATGCCGTCTCCTGTCAGCGTGTCCGTCGCTGTGTGGACCACAACGAGACGGTTCAGTGAGTGTGTCTTAAAGCCACCTTTACAGGGCTTACAGGAACAGAATGCAAACAGTATTTACAGCCATTTCATGATAACTTATTTGTGGACTAACCAGACAAAATGTGTTAAAAAGGGCAGCAATCTAACGCCTTCTGGTCAAATGCAACTTCCCAGGCTTTATGTAATGAAACCAACTGTTTTTGGGTTGGAATGCAGAAATGATAAAACAGCATCTTTTGCGAACTTGTTTTTTTGTAAATGTCGCTATAAACCCGAACTGTTCTTTACATTAAATGACGTTCCTCAAAAAAACTAAAATCAAACTGCAGCTGTCTTCATTTTGTATCATATCATGACGTTATACTCTTTCTGCCATCCTCTGTCGCCTGCATGATGTTTCATTTCTCACCTTTGGAGCAGGTGCTCCTCTCTCGGCATCAAGTGGCCAAAAGCAGTGGAGTAGTTCTCCGTGGGGCAGCGTTTAGGGCTGGACATGGCAGACAGGGGCGTGAGTAACGTCTCCCTCTTGGCTAAAAAGAAGAAGGAAGGAAGGAAGGTGGAGATGTCATGACCGCCATACAAACATGCAGATTTGGATAAATGTCCTATCTTGTAGTAAGATGAGGTTTCTACAAGTTTCACCAACTCAAATTAAAAATTTAAGACCTGAATCACGACAAATGTACAACAGAAAATTGCATATCCTGCCAATAAATTTGTTTATATCGACGGTAGCTGCAGCAAAGCTAGCTAGCTAGGTAACTTGTTTTTATTAAGTATTTATAGCAATCAGTAAAACATTAGCATAATACAAACAAAAAAAAAAACATCCTAGGTTGAATTTTATACATAAAAAGTGCAGAGAAAATATAAAGAGGTTATAAGATATTACTGTAATAAATTTACAGTATTATTTGGATTATTGGATGAAGCAGTGAGATAATATCACCAATTCAAGTCTTTCATGAAAATGAAGAATAAAGGACTGTTAGTACTGAACTTTGTGATATTAGCAGCTAGCTGACGGTAGCCTCAACGGCCTCAAGTCACAGAACGCAGTGAAGACGCCTGCATGTGACTAAAATTAAAGACCACAAAACTTAAGACCTGTGATTATCATATTAAGGCCAAAATACACTTAAAAATGTGAATTTAAGACATTTTAAGGCCTTGCCAAATAAATGTAAGACTTTTTAAGGATGAACGAGTTCCTGTAAGAACTTACTTGGAGTAGCAGTAGGGATGTTTCTGTGAGCTGCAGGTGGCAGTGAGGAGGACCGGTGGCCCTCGGGGGACAGACTCCTCTGAGCCCTCAGCAGGGCTGCAGTCCTGTCTGTTGCACCGCGACTTCTCAGGGCCCCACCGTCGGCCCCCATAGCTGCCGCTCCTCCTGGTTTCGCGGCCTCCGTCTCGTCCAGTACCAGGTCAGGTCGGTTCCGGACCGGATCTTTGTGTTTCCGCTCCACAAACCCAACGGTGGCCCTCTGATGGCCGACCCCTGCAGACACACAAATAAATTAAATTCACAGACCGAGCTGGTAGCAGCTGTGTTTCCTGCGCTGAGTGAAATAATAATTCTGCAGAAATACTGTTGGACATATTTGGTGCATTTCAGGATGAAAAATGAACAAAGTGCCTCCAAGACAGTTTTACTTTTATTTGTATGTGGAAAAATACGGGAAGTAACATTGTTTACTGTGACTTTAAGAACTATTCATACACTTTAAAACTTTCCATTTTTTAACTACAATGTATTTTAATAAGATGTTATCTGACAGGCCACCAAAAAAGTGGCTCAATAGTTTTTTTTTAACCAGTGAAAATCTGAAATGTGCTTTGTTCTCTTTTGGGATCTCTGCAATTTTTATGAATTTATAGATATTTGCTGATGCAAAACAGCTGAAGTTCAGTCAGATGGGATGCAGAGAATGCATGAATGTCATTTTTCAAGTCTTCCCATTGATTCTCAATTGGATTTAGGTCAGGACTTTGACTAAGCCAAGAGTCTACGACCTGCAGCTCCAGAGCTCCGGTTGGCTCTTGATAACTTTGGACAAGATTGATAAAGAATGGAGCAACGTTTGAACATTTAAAGATAATAAACAAATGCTAGTTTGAATAGTTTTTTTTATGTCCGTAGTTTGAGGAATATTTATCAAAGTACTTTTTTTTTTTTGTTTTTAAGTTGTAAATTGATTGTTTTGGAACATGTCCTGTGACATTTCAACATTTTATTGAAAGAAAAAATGTATTAATTCTCTCTCATGTAAACTTTATTTTATTTTAAAACCTAAAAGCAAAAACAAAAATTGTTTTTCTTTCATCTAAAACTCAAAAGAAATTTCCTAGAGTAGATGTAAAAAAAAAAAAAAAGCTATTTGGTATTAGTAAGTAGTTCAAAATCGATGACAACATTTCTGTTGTAGATATTTGTTCTTTTTCTTGAAGGTGACCCAATATTTGTGTTTCTAAATGAGTTTTATTCCACTGTTTTTATTGCCCCTGAGGGTCCCTGTGCAGCTGTATGAGTGTAGGGCTCACAGGGGGCCCGGGTCTCCGTGGCTCTGGTCTCCTCCAGCTCGATCAGGGCCCTCATCATGGGCGTCAGGGGGCTGGAGCCGTCTCTCCGCCCGGCGCTCTGCTCCTGCTGTCTGCTCTGAGGCAGAGTCTGCTCACACTCAGGTGGAGACGCACACCTGCACACCAGAAAGCGAACCGTTCACACTCACGCCCAGGTCCGGCTTTAACGCCGTGCTCCCGACTCTAAACACACACCTCCAGCTGCCGCCAGAGGAAGAGACGTCCACAGACGACATGTCGTTTATCGGGTAGGGAGATCGCTTGTGAGCGTTTGATTGGCTGGTCTGAGTTAGCTGGGAGTTTCTGCCGCCGTTCGGTTGGTCAGACCTCCTCCAGGTGACGTCCGGCTCTACTTTACCTTTGCTGGGTGACAGCAGCAAGTCGGGATGGTGGAAGAGACTGCAGACATATTCCGGACAGTCATTCACTCTGGTTAGTAAGTAAGTGTTACAAACTTTTCTCCTCTCAGACACTGAAACGCTGCGGCTTTAACTGTGAACAACATTTGAAGAGCTCACCCTGCCCCTGAAGGCTGGGCGTTACTGTGGGGGGCGTAGCGGACCCGGGCCTGGTTCTCGTGCTCCAGCTGCATCACCTGGGACTCCAGCTTTGAGATGACTCTAGGAGAGATTTACAGAGATGGACGTGGTCATGAATACAGCAGGAAACACCCTCAGGTAATCTGGGTTTATGTGTGGGGAATGACACAAGTAAGAGTAGAAAAGTATTTGGTAAAAAGGATAAAAGGATACTCCAGTACTGATTAAATGGTTAGAATAAAAAAATCAATCAAATTAAATCATCAGATGGACCAAAACANAATGTGATGTGGAAACTTTGGTGTTTTAAGGACCAAAGTGAAAGTAATTCATATTAATAACATAATCACGAAATAACAAAAGCTGCATTCCCATTTACCATATAATTGCATAAATTGGATTTACAAAAATAATTTTGATTAATGGACACACGCCTATTTAGAAAAAAACTAACATTTTTAATAAAGTTTTTGCGCTAGGTTGAGGTGGTTTTTAGATTTTATCGAAATGAGTGTAATTTGCAAAACTGCAATGCAAACTATTTTCATGTCATACAAGTCACGTGATCAACAACCGCATGTTACTACTGGAGGAAACAACAAAGAAGATAACAGGAAGTGGTAGTAGAATTGATTTTGAATGAATTATCATATGAACAAACTTACCGATTTTAATTACCTTTCTTATTTAATGGAAACACTGCAGTGTAAAATTGTTTTTTTTTTCCAACATGAGCAGAAATGGACAAAGGTTTGCAAACATTTGTAATGGAAATGTGGCTGAAATCAGGCAAAAGAGACACTTTTCCAAATCAGTTTCTTTAAATACAAAATATATGAAACCTTAATGAAAACTACAGATGTGTGCCTGGTGACTATTTTGGTTAAAACATTATTGTTCTTCATTCAGTGAAGTTACTCGTAGGGGACAGAGTATACAGAAATGTTACTTGAGTAAGAGTAGTGAAACGCCATAATAAAATTACTCAAGTAAAAGTAAAAAGTACAAGTAAAAACACTACTAAAACTACATGTTTTCCAAAAAGTTAAAAATGTAGCTAGTTACTGCCCAACTCTGCATACATCTTAATTTTGTAGAAGTCAAAATTAATTGGATTATGTATTTTTTAAAAAGTTACAAAATCTAACCAGTATGTGTTACCTCTTCAGCTCAGATATCTGATCGTTTGCATCGACTAGCTTGCTCTCTGCTGACACCAGGTTGTTCTGTAGGAACAAAAACAGAAGTAGCACCTGAAGTTAGCGAAATGTGACTTTACCTGTGTGGAACTTAATGCCATGTTAAAGGATGAGGTTTGTAATGACATATATGAGACAGATGACATTAAATCTGCCTAGCTGCGTTGCTATCACATGACCAAACAAAACCACATAAAACCCAAACAAACAGCAACATTACAGAAATAAACATCAACTATTATTATTAGTCCTGTCTCACTTATGGGATTGATGCCAATATTAAAACAAAAAGACAAATATCGGCTGATACTGAGGTTAATGAAGATGTGACATAATGTTACAATACCAGAGGAAATGACTTTACCTTTGCTGCTTCGTGTTCCTTCATCAGAGAGTCGTATTCCTTCAGTAGCTGAGGGGAAGAAAGTGAAGTGTTGTAAATTATGGCTGCCAGTTAACAGTTGTACAAAAAAACTATTACATTTTTCCACTGGTGTAAAAACTGTCATTTGTTTCTGTCTTTATCAAACATTTCTTATTCAGGGTATCACTAAACTTCACACAGTAACTGTATTTAATCATATCTTCGCATTTATTGATATTTATTGAGGCTCCCTCTGCTCAGTGGACAAAAAAAACAAGTAAAATTAACAATTATCTCAAACATGGCAGTTTCGTTTTTGAAAACGAATTCTAATATTAAAATGAAATATCAGAATTCTTATCAAAATAAAAAAAATTATCAGAATAATAAATGATAAAACAATACAATAAACACCCACCTTTAATATTTACTCAATCATTTAGAAGAAAAAAGGGTTTTTGGTTTGAAAATGTTTATTTTGTTGCTATATATAGTTTACAATTAAATGTGATTCATTTCTATTACTTAACCCTGCAGTTAACTCAATCAGAAGTTTGCTACTATTGTTTACATGATATCTGATCTTTATGGACTCTGTCAGACTCACATCCTGCAGCATCTTGTACTCCCTCTCCCTCCTGGCCTCCTTGTCGTCTGCCTCCCTGCAGGCTTTCTGCGCCGCCTCCTCCAGCTGACGCACGCGGCTCTTTAAGCGAGCTGCCAGGCTGTCTTTCTCTTTGGCTGAGCGTTTGCTCTCTTCCAGCCGCTGCTGCAGGGAGTTCACGGCGGCTCCGGCCACGGCGTAGCGCTCCGGCCATTCGGCCTGTGAAAACAAAGTCACTCGTATTCAAAAGCTGCCCAAAAACGATGCCTGAACATCGGCATAGCTTCCTCTGTTCGGCCTGCTAGCTTCTTGCTATCTCTGCTTTGCTTGTTTAGGAAATTATGATAAGTTCCCTCAAGGTAATGAGCTGCAAATTTTGTATGAAAATGTTTTTGCAGATACCAGGTGTTTCTCCAGCAACATGTTTGTTGCCTCCAGTTCCTGGATGCGACCTGTTGCCTCAGCCAGAGCTTTTTCTAGATGTTTGCACCTGCAGATAAACAACAGGATGAATAAAATGAATCTAAACTGTAAACATTTATCATTAACAATGCTAATCCCTTTTTACATGTTCTCAAATGCATCTAAAAAAACTTATACTTTTGGCTTTTGCTCGTTTTTCTGGCTATTTTATGTTTCTGCTGACCTTATCTGGTTTGCAACAAGGCAAAAAACACGGGCGTGTGAATGACTGCAAACCTCTCTGTCAGGGCCTGATTGCTCTTCTCTAGATCCTGAGGCAGATCTCGGAGTTTGAGTTTGTCTCGCAGGATCTGGATCTCAGACTCGTAGTAGGCCTTCAGATCAGCGATGTGTCGCGAGTGTTTCTCTCTGAGGTTCTGCCGCAGTCTGGGGGGGAAAAGGGAAGGAAAAAAGAAACTTGAGACACTTTCATGTTATAACAAGGCGCAAAACTTATTAAAGCAAGAATTCTGTACCCAGTTAAACCAGAAACCTTCATGTTATAACAAGACGAGTTTTATGTCTTGCAATAACAACAAATATAAGTTTTATATCTCGCTTTAACGAGAAACTTCTTCTTTATATTAAGATTTTAAAAAACGCTCCTCTGACAGTTTACGAACTTTAAAAAGGCAAAAGAAGGGATCACTGTGACCTTTTTTATTTAAATGAGAACACATTTCATTTAAATAAAGGCCAATAAAACAAAACTCGTTAAAACGAGAAAACCTTCTCGTTTTAATGAATTTTGTATGTTGTTACATCCAGAAACTCTCATGCTACAGCGACATAAACCAAGAAACTTTCTTGTTTTAACAAGAAACTGTCAGAGGGACAAGATAAAAAAAAATACACACCTCTGACAAATTTAGGTTATAAAGAGACAGAAAACTCATCATGACAATGTTTTCTCGCTTTTGTGTCTCATACCCAGAAACCTTCTCGTTATGAAATATAACACTCGTAAAAATGAGAAACTTTGTTGTTATAGCAAGACATATTTCTCACTATGATGAGAAACTTTTTGCTATAGCAAAAATATAAAAATACACCTGTGACAGTTTACAATCATAAAAAGGCATTCCTCTGATGTTTCCTATTTAAAACTGGGAACATATTTTGATTACAACAAGATATAAAACTTGTACAAACAATAAATATTCTTGTTTTATTGCTATAACGACAAACATTTTTTCTATAGCAAGTTACAAATACACACTCCTCTGATTGTTTACACGTTTACTGTATGTTTACAAGCTTGGTGACTGCTGAAATCAGGCAGTGAATATTTTCTACAAGGTGTCTGTAACATCAGACTCACAGAGACAGGACGACGGGGTCCTCCAGGGACGAAGCTCTGTCCATGTGCGGACTGGCTGACGGCGGTTGCCCGCCTCCAGGGGCGGCGCCGGGCTTCAGGGTGCTGGTGTAGGTGCGGCTCCCCTCTTCCTCGCTGGCTAACGGTGCACTCGCCCTGCGCTGCTGGCTGCTTTCTCTGACCGCCAGTGACGGATTCCCTTGAGAACTTTGAGTCTTAGCTGGAGGTTGTCCAACAGCTGAAGCGCTGGACACGTCAGAGACGCAGTCGGTGTCTCCAGGACGGGGGCTGCCCTCCGCCATGCTGTCGGGGGTCATAGAGGTCCCCAGTCTGGGGTAGGGGTGTGGCGGAGGGGCAAACGACGGGCTGCTGAAGTGAGAAGGTGAAGTGAAGCCAGATGTTCGATCCGACTGCTGCGTGCCGGCTGCCGGATCCAACGTCAGCACCTTAGCAACGGAGATATGAGGTTAGCAACGGACCGAGTCGGATCGTTTTCTACAAAAGTCAAAAGTTTAGAAGAGGTAAAAACAGATTTGGGTCTCTGAATGAAAAGACAGACCTGTGGTGACAGAGGGCTGGATGTGACAGAACCTTCCCAGTCGGTTTGTTTACAGTCTTTATGTTTGTTCTGGTAGATTTCTCTGAGGGACAGCCGCGGCTCCTGGGATGGAGTTTGCTGGAGACACACAACCATCCTCAGCTTTTAGTCCAACTCAACTTTTTCACAAAAACATCGTCATTGCAACTTTTACATTCCTTAAGGATGTAAAAATAAACTGAGTAAAAACATGAAAAGTTTAGAAGTGCTATAAAGCACACTAATCATCTTTATTTCATTTGTTTTGCTACAAAACCAGATGTAGTTATGATTATTTAATTTCCCTTTGGGATTAATAAAGTATTTTTGAATTTGAATTGAATTGAATCATTGTCTTCGGTTAACAATTGCTACACAAACATTTGCAAGAAAAAAAAAAAAACTTGGAAATTTTTGAGTTTCAAAAGCCGATTTTGTTTTTTTTACTTTTGAAACTCTGAGATTTTCAAGTTTTTCCCAGAAAATTTTCCGAGCTTAATCTCAAAATTTCTGTTTTTTTCTATAAAATGTTCAACTTTTCAAACTCTGAAATTTTCTTGATTTTTATTCTAATGAATTTCTGAGATTAATCTCAAAATGTATTTATTTTTTTCTAAAAACTTTTCAAACTTTGTTTTGCCTGTCCCCCAGTTTTCCTATATACAACGGCCCTGATACGCTGTGGTACATAGCACTGATGTAGAGATCTGAATCTTCTTTATCTGAAGGTGTGTTTTGGCGCCACCTTCTGACTGGTACTATTATTGTCCCCGTCAGCACATACAGTCAACATATGAGCGTCATGCGGCTCTTTTACGGGGCAGAAACAGACATCGACGTTTACGTGGCGTAGGACAGCCAGGTGGACTGGGAGGTTTGAATTTGGCTGAATGCGACTGAGCTGGTGACTCACAAGACTCATGGAAGCCTCTTGCAGAAGGAGATACGCTCCGCTGTCAAAGCTGTCCGGAAGGGGCCGATACAGATCGCATTCGTTCAGACGCCAGTAAGTCAGACCTGAGACAGACACAATGAAAAGTCTGTAGAGTGCTTTTTCACATTATTCATCCATTCATTTGCATGTTTATGTCGGTGTAGTGGCCTACACTACACTACTGACACTACACTGGTTGAAGTTCCAAAAACTGGAACTTCAACCAGTTCCAGTTATTAGTGTGTCACCAAATTACACAGTTCAATCCTGCAAAAGGTCATGCAAAATCAGCAGACCTCCACATTACTTTGCAGTAATGTGAGTTCCTCAAGTTTTTCTGAAGAACGGTCAAAAAGTTTGAGCTTAAGTGATGATAACTCCAACCTGCAGGTGGCAGTGTTTTCTTTTACGACACTGTTGCGTCAGTCTTACTTGGTGTCAAGTTATAGTCCGCAATCAATACGGCAAGCAACAAAAAGTTACATTTAACGTCACACATAGGTGCAAATGTTGCAAAATTCCTTGCAAATATTTTTTTAAATATCAGAAAAAAAAACAGACAAATTCTGGACAGACTGAAAAATGTGAAAAGATTTTCAATATTATTTTATTTTTAAGAAATACTTATCGAATGCAGATTATTATTCATGGAGTCTGCAGGAGACGCAGAACGATCCTCAGCTTTTGATTCGGCTAATGATAAATTAGCTGAATTAATTTGTCATTAGTTGACAATTTAATTAGTTGACTGGCCAGAATAAATTCTGGCACAACCGGCCCTTTAGGAAGATTTATGACCTCCATTTGGCCCAAAATGAGGATGAGTTTGACCTCCTGGTGTGGGCCAGTCTAAACTACTGAGCAGTACTATAAACCGTAAATACACTGAGCATCACTCTTGATCTGAAAATATATCCATGATTCACACTGCTACTGATGCTCTCTACTGACCTATAATATGATCATAAATGAGATTTTATTCAGTGTCAAAGGAACATAAGACTGCTTTTAGAATCAAATCAAAACTATTGTTATCAGGCAGTGTGAAATATTATTATGGTCGCCTCAGGAGTGTATCAATAACTACAGAAGATGAAAACTAAAGTGCATGGTTCCTTTGGCCTCGTCTTTTCTTCTTTTTTTAATTGAAGTCTGTGAATTACCTGAAGCCTCTGACATCAGGCTGTCACTGCGCCGCAGAGGGAAAGAGCTGGATGACAGCCCGGCCGATCGATGCTGAAACACAACGGAGATAAGTGGATGGGACTCAGGAGCAAGAAAAAATGGTTAGAGCAACCAAAACAGACAAAACTACTACAAATGTTAAAATACCTGGTCGTGAGAATCTGGTTTCTCCAGCAGACTCTGCTTGCTGTGAGGTAACTCCTGGTAGTCTGAGGTTTGTGCTGTGCCGATTCCTGCCTTTGTCTTCCTGGCTCTGAGTTTCTGCCTCTGGGCCCAGGAGGTCAGCTGCTGGCTGCTGCTGCCAAAACGATGGAGAATACACTTTATTTTTAACTAAAAACATGCAACTTCATTCTCCATTTCCCCAATCTAACAAATAAAAGATGAATTCCATAAAATGATGCAGGTACAGCAGCAACACGTTGATATAATAATTTGTGGTACATTCTGTGACAAACCCAACTTCAACCAGTTCCAGTTATTAGCATGAAGAAACCTGCCCACATGGAGCTCATGCATCCTGTGGTCTTTTACTGGCCACCACAGTTGGAAGCTGCAGCTCATAGGTGGAGCTTTGTCCTTGGAGGCGGGCCTAGGCCCCTTCAACCGTTTTGCACAGCTGAACGGTTGCCACGGGACATTAAAGGACTCAAACATGCATTAAAGAATCAAATCAACACTCCAGGAGTGTTTAACACTGATGTAAAGTGCAAAAACATTAACTTTCCATGACGCTGCCCCTTTAACAGGTTAAAGTTTGGACATACCTGGACGTTTTCTGCTGGTACACAGATGGAATAGGTTCATTGACGGCGTTGGGCCGCTCACTGGAGAAGTCCTGCTGGTACTCTGCCAGAGTCGTCTGCATGTCTTCCTGGAGGATGCTGGTCCACCTGTGCTTCCGCCCGGCGTCGCCGTCCTCCCCGTCTTCATCAGGAGTCACCCCGGGTTCGAAGCCAGTCTCCCACAGCGTTCCATAGCCGCTGCTGAGCACCGTGGTGGTCCGCTCCTCTCCCTGGTTGGCGGTCTCCAGCCCGGGAGGCGGAGGGGACGGGGTGCTGAAGGGTGTGAGGATGGGGGCTCCCAGGCTCTCGTTGTCACTTGGCACGTTTTTGGGAAGCGGGCGTTCACTGGAGATGATGGAGAAGATGCAGTCTTTAGCATCTGGGGACGTTTTGGTGATGGAGGGGAACTCCGTCTGCGGCTGACCGCTGCTGGTCTGGCGGTTCTGGAGCTGAACCAGGGCCTTAATCTCATCCTGAATCAACTAAACAAAAAACAAAAAAAACAAGATATTTAAAAAGGAGAAGAAAAAAATTTTATCACATGAAAGAACTCGATAGCATACGTTTGCTTACCTGTATTTGGCACTGATATTGTTCTTGCTGAGCAAGTATTTGCTCTTGGTATTGCTTTTCAACCAGCTGAAACAAATGCAACCATCGACCCTGATGAAGACAAAAACCATTTGACAAACAATCAGTTTGTAACTTGAACTTTTAAACGGTTAATCTTGTTTAGTGTTAATATTTCCTAACTTCAAAGGTGCACAGCTTCTAAAGTTTTCCCTTGTAATATTTTAAGCTGCCACTTCATCCAAATGCTCTAAAAAGAACAAAATGTCCGGCAAACATTGTTAGAAGCCAAACTGTAAGGAGCAACTATTGCAATGGAACGATAAACCAGTTAGAATTCAATTATTCAGAGGAAGCAGAAAAATCTGATACGGGTTTGTTTTCTATTATGGGCTGTTGAAAAAAAGGAGGAGTACGTTTCTGCTGAAAAACTCAAAAATTTGGTGATTAGATCTCAGAAATTGTCTTGAAAGGCAAGAAAATTTCTGAGTTTGAAAAGTCAAAACAATTGCAAGGAAAAACTAATTTTGAGATTAACCTCAGAAATGCTCAAGAAAAGGTAAACATGGAAATTTCTGTGTTTCAAAAGTGAAACATTTTCAAGTTTTGAAACAAAGTTTTTTCAAGAAAATTTCTGAGATTAATCTCAATATTTTTTTCTAGCAAATTGAAAATTTCTGCATTTTTTCTTATGAATTTTCAACATTTGGGGCTCATAAATTTCCTTGATTTTTCTAAAAAAATTTCTGAGACTAATCTCAAATTCTTTTTGTGTTTTGGCAGAAATTTACACCTCATTTTTCCCCCATCTACAACGGCCCTCAGACGCCATCATAGTTTTCACACACTAACACTGAGGAAGTCATTTGGATTTAAAATCTCCAAAGTTGCTATTCACATTATGAATATCTCTGAGCACCGTAAGAGGTCTCCGTTTCTGAAAGCAGGTGTTGGGACTCTTCGTTTTGTGTTCATATTAATTAATGTAATGCATTTTAATTCCTTTGCAATATTAACCAACCCTGGATTTTCTTGACATGTTATTAGAAGGCTGGGTAAAAGAACTTCCATTTATTTTTGCAAACATCCTTTCTCTGCAACGTTTCTTATATCTTGTATTTACTGTTGGCTCCAGTAAATATAAATTAAAATAGATAAGGGGCAACAAAAAAACACGTAAAGCAACCATGTAAAGGGTTGTGTTATAATTGTTAGAACCATGCAGCAGACTAAATGTGACTTGTTTTCAGAAATAACACCAGTTCACATGATGCATCCTTGTTGGTCCCAACAGACTGAGAACAGTCATCCTTCCACACAATTTTACCTTATGGCTTGGATATCAGCCGTTCATTGAAGAATCTAGCTGAGGAATCTTCACGGTAAATAAGGAGACACAAAATACACACTAAAAAAAAGTTTAAAAATCAAACATTTACTTTGAGACAGAAAAAATTAAAACTCGTGAAAGTGCAACGTATAAATAAATCACAAGGTTTTCTTCAAAGCAAATTGTTAAAGTGTATTTCTCTGATAGAAAAAATGCCCATCAACAACAGAAACCCAATACCAGGTATGACTGACTTTGTAGTGAATGTAAAAGCAGAATGTAACTACTCACTGAAATTACTTCTGAAATTAATATGTCAAATGAATGTTCAACGCAGAAGAAAAAAGATGGAGTAAACACCCCCAAAGAGCTGGAATGCAGTGGAAGTGAGTTTGTTTCATGAGAGGAAACAGAGCAAAAAGGCAGATTTTCATGGTTTACCCTCAACTGTTTACCAAATAATGAAAAGCAATCATATCAGTGGCAAAATAATAGAGCAAAAAAGTGGCTTGTGGATAAACTCCATTAGCAGCTCGTTCCCCCAGACACCGAGTTTAAAGGGATAGTGACCTGCTAAGAACAATCACTTCAGGTTGAACTGAACTGCGTCAGTGTTTCCCCTGCGCATCACTTCCTGTGTATGAAAACTTCAGCTGCAGTGTGGTGCTGTACCAGTACTATGGGCTCTCTACAGATGTGTGTGCATGTGTGTGTGTCTGCAGAACTGACAGGTGCGATCCACAGAAAAAACTAAAAGTGACAGCTCAGAGGCGAGGCTGTCGGCTGCAGAAGAACAACTGCTAAAGCAGCAGTTCCTGGCTTCACTTCAGACAGCACCAGCGTGTGCTTAGGACCTCATTTACATACTGTCTGTGTAGTTTTATCTTTCAGGCTGTGTGATTAACTCCCACCTCACAGTCCTTCCAGATCTCTGGGTCTGTTTCTCCGCTGCTCTGAATCTCCTGCACCAAGGCCCTCAGGGTCTCCAGGGAGCTCGGGTTGATGAACGGCAGCGTCTTCCCATGCTCAAATGCTTCATCTGTGCTCAGACAGAGGTTCCTACGACAACATTGCACTGAAATTACTTATAAGATACAGGAAAGCAAATTTAAAAGACAGACTAAGGCTTTTCTGGTATCATTTTTCTTTGCAAAATGCTACAAAGAATAAAAAAGGCAAAGAAAATTTTAAGAAATGAAAAATATTACAACCGTGGTAAGGATATGTCTTATAATCAAGATTCTCATTTAATGCGAATATTTACAAACTGTTACACCAACACCAAGTATAGGATATATCAAAACATTGCTCAAGCAAGAAAATACGACTGTCTATTAGAAAAAAAGGAGAGTAAGTTTTTGCCAAAAAATCTGACATTTTTCTAGAAAATGAAATACTAAATATTTCAGAAAAAAACTTTGAAATTTGTGAGTTTTAAAAGTAACAGATTTTCTATAAAAATAATTTTAAAAACATGTTTTTACTTTTGACACATTTTTGATATTAATCTCAAATTTCCAAAGTTATTTCTTGAACATTTTCAAGTGTTTCCTTGTTCTTTCTAGAAAATTTCTGAGATTGATCTCTAAATTCTGAACTTTCCTGGCAGAGTTATATATACCAAAAAACTTTGTGCGACTATACTATGCACAAGTATTATTGGTGCTGGTAAAAGAAATCTAGAATGAATATACAAATAATAATGTATTGCTAAATGTACATAAGAGGCACCAATAAAAACAATATTGAACTGTTTACGACAGTAATACTATTGAACCTAGCATTTTCAGACAGTCTGAGTGTGAGGATTACTGGTGTTGAGCAATCTGGTGGCCAATGGGAGATCACTATTATTACACGTTTCCTTTTATCTCACAATTATTTGCTATTTGGTGCTTATTGTTCACATATAGAACCAAAAGAAAACAACAAAAAAACAAACAAACAAACGACTATGGTAGCATTGTGGCAATATGAGAAAAGGTTCAAGTACTTTTCCAAGGCGCTTTAGGTGATTTTTTCTTGAACTTTTTTTTTTTTAAACAGCTGCAGTTTCACAACTGCAAAACCCGCTTCACAGCTCACGCTACAGTTTACAACATGACTTTCATTTCCTTCATTACAAATTAAGGCAGCTCATGACGTTTTCTGACAAGATTAATAAGAAACAGGAAAAAATAGCAATAGGAAATAAATCCATTAGTCTCATGGTAAATTAAAACTAGCTCAATCATTTCCATTTGTGTGATGTTTTCTTTTTTCCCCCTTTCAACCAAAAATTGGATTTGGTGCTTTGGACTTCTTTTTTTTTTTTTTTTGAAGAACAATTTTGTTTACAGCGGCTTCATAATTCATTTTATTTGTTGTTTTGTTTTTTTATTTTGGATACTTAAAATGTCTTCCCGTTCCAGTGTTAAAAGCTTGTTGATGTTTGAGAATATGTTCTCTTATTATTACCGATATACTATTGTATAATATCGTTATCTCAAAACAACAATATCAGGGTTTATCGCAACAACTTCTGGGACGATTCAGTGTCCAGCAAAATTTGTTATAGTGACAGGCTTAACCAGAACATCTGAATAATTTAATATAAACGCAGATTATATCCGAAATTGCATCTTTTACTCTTTTACACATTAACTGTCAAGTCTCCATTTTTCACGCAGAGCACGGTGTGTGTGAGTGGCAGCACCTGATCCTGTTGCACGCCGGTGTGATGTCCACATGCCTGCTCTCCACGGCGCCTCCCGTAGTTTGGGAGACTGTGTGCCTCTCCTCCAGGACGGCCAGGCCCGAGGCTGACGTCCCCTCGGAGGACACCAGGGAGGTCTCGCTCTCCTTTCCTCCATCTCCGTCGGCGCTGGCGTGGCAGTGGCTCAGAGCCCCCGAGCTGGACACGTCCTCGGAGATACTGTCATCCGTGGACATGTTTACGGGCCCATCTGGAGGGGGTCTCTCTGACAGCTGAGAGCCAAAACAAAGAGAAAACAGGGCTGAGTTGGAGTGAGCGTCTGAAGGCGCTGCACAGCTGTTGCAAGTGCCAGAAAAAGCCTCTGTAACCTTGGTTTAGGTGGGCACTATCAGTAAATCCCAGAATTACTATACAGCCGCGATATTTACACGTAACATATCCGGTAAACATGTATTAAAACAAACAACAAAAAATAAATAAATAAAATATAAAATGACGTTCAGGTGTCAGTGTGACGCATTAGCATCAATCTCTGAGTTTTAAGCATCAGGGGTTACGTTTCCTTTAATTTAAAAGCTAGCCTGAATACGGCATGTTTAATTAATGTACTGCTAATTAAATTAGCAGAAATAATTAACGCAGAAGAGGCAGGCAATATCACAATATATTATTAGGAGCACCATTAGCTGTCAGAGCTATAATGTCTGTAGCACCGACACTTAAAGTTGCCAGTCCTGAATCTGTTGGACAGAGGTATCCAGCTGCAGCTAACAACACCTGCAACTAACGAGCCTTTCAAATGGTTAGCCAGTTAGCTCAGTTTGGCTAAGTTGGTGTATTACAGGTTAAGAAACACAGAGACAAGCAGGACAGGACTAGTAGTAGCATTCAACTGCAAACCGCTTCACAAGACCAGGCAGTGTGGCTAGTACAGCTTACACCAAATAATAGTTAACCTACCGGTTGGTTTCTAATGTTATTATATCCATATTTCTCTGAGAGTAGTCGGACTCGCTAGCTGTGAGCTGGTTGGCTGCTGCACTGCAGTGTTCGCTGTCCGCTGAACGTTTACAGCCCCCAACGCTATTGGTCAGAATGAGATCTGAAATACAGACGCGTGATTGGTTAGTATTTTCACATTTTATTTCTATTGGTCGAGGGAGAAGATAAGGAGTGTATAAATACCGGGCCAAACTGATAGGCGGACAACTCCAACTAAAGGATGCTAGAATCTTATTTTGACGAATAGCTGTTATTTATACTATTTTATGCAGACCCTAAAACACTGCTTTTGAATTCTGATGGAGTTTTGATGTCCCACCAAAATAAATGTTTTACTCATACAATTTTTAAGTTTTCAGGTGCTGCCCAGATCATATTAATGTTTTCCTTTCAACATCTTCATTTGAAATAATTGCAAGAAATGTCACCATACACTGAAAAAATATATAAATTAAGAATATGTAGTGACAATGCCAGGCCTGTATGTGGCAATGTAATACAGTTAGTAACATCCAATAGTAAACAAAGGAGGCAAACAACATGCATTTGAATTTGCTGCTGGGATTGAGAGTTTGCTTAAAAGTGGGAATATGACCTGACCATGTTCAGAAATTAAAGTATTGCTGTCTTCTCCAATTCCAACAAATTGGAGAAGACAGTTCTCTAATTAGAATATAGTATTTTCAAAAATATTCAACCATTTGAAACCAAATAATAGGCCTCTAAAGCTCAGTGCCCAACGCTACTTCCTTGGTAAAGAAAGCATTCCACGCGGTGGAGCTCACGACCCATGTGTAGTGGCCATCATGGGTTCGAGTCCCGGCCCAATGACCTTTTCCGCTTCCCCCTCTCTCACAACCAAAATAGCATTGTGCAGCGCAACAAAACAAATCAATTTGCAGTAATGGATGCTTTCTTTTTTTATGCGTCATGTTGGGGTTATGTTTTAACAGTTTATCAAAATTAAATGCTGTACAATTTTGCCTGAATGTTAAAAGTGAGATTTGACTTAAAGTTACACTGAATGTGAGAAACATTTTAACTTCATTACAAAAGTTTAGTGCATGATGTTAGAGCAAAGGGGAGGATTTAGAAAGAACTTTTTACATCTGTAGAACATGAGTAAAATTAAGCATTAGTATCAAAGTTTTAGTAAGGGTCATCATGGACGGTGGTGCTGTAGGCAGAAAGGATCTCTGGTAGCAGTCAATCTCGCAACGCATCTGACAAGACCTCTGACTGAAGAATTCCCTCTGGGATTGTTGAAGTATTTTTGGATGGAATTCGAATGTTACTGTACATCTCGTGACTGCTACGAGATGGCAACAGAGACAATATTCCACGGTAACATGTTCTGGATCAGTTGTTGACTGCTAACCCGCTAACTCGTTTGCTTTTGCCGGTCTTTTTGTCTGGCTCTGCATCCATGAAGGCCTCCCTTTTTAGCCACTCTGGGATTTGGGAGACATAGTTCAGGTACTATTTAAGTTTCTGAGATGCCAGTCGGCTGGTCCCACTTGTAAAAACAATATTTTGTTGACAATGGTTACGCACCATTACAACTGTTAGAAAGCAAAAACATAAAAAATAAAAAAATCAAAGCACAGTATCAAAATTGAAACACATTGAATCACAATATCCACTGTATTGAAAATACAATTTATTACACAGAGTAATAAATACATACAAAGATGCAAGTAGTAGCATTTTCCTTTTTGTTTTCGTCTTTTTAATACCAAAACCAATTTCATCACAGATGAACCAATGCGTCTGATAACATGTCCACCACTCAAGTCTTTTGTTACAAGGGTCTGAAACACAGACCCAATACTATAAAAAATAAAAACAAAGAAAGAGAGAAAAATCTATCTACTTCTGTACAAGCCATGCAGTGTCTACAGTTAACCCATGGGCCCGTTCGCATGCAAAAAACAAAACAAAAAACCCAAAAAACAATAAAAATATGAATGTATACCAATGTATTTATGTAACAAGTCAAAACTAAGATCCCCAACGGTGGAGCGTAAAAAAATTCTTTTGATTCCCAAGAAAAAAAAAAAGGAAAGAAAAAAATCCCAATTGAAAGAATTCTTCAGAACTTCTTAGAGCCGTGAACTGCATTACTGTGTTTTTTTCTCTCTCTAAGAGCTTGCACTTCAATCCTTTGTTCATTTACTTCCTCCTTGCAACGTAAAGGCCATGCACACTTCCCCCACCCCCAACTTCCCCCCCAAAAAAAAAGAAAAAGAAAAGAAAAAAAAGTAGTTCTTCTTGCAAGGAGGAATACGTGTTTATGGCTAGGACCTTGCGTTTCTTTCCGTCTCCGCCAGGCATTCACGTACCAGGCCTCTGGCGTGAATTATCCCTGTTACAGAGACAGAGTCGTATATTTCACATCAAACCGATGACACAACAGCACATATTAATGTAAATGTTCGCTTAAACTCTGCTTGTGAATCGTCCTCAACCATACCTCTTTTCAGTCTCTCCATTGCGCTCTTGCTCCCGGCGTATGTGGGCCTGATTTCCTTCCCTAGCTCTTCGATGATGGCCAGCAGCTCGGCATATTTGTTCTGAGGCACTTGGCTGCCGGTGGAGCCCTGGGCCGGAGCAGAAGCAGCAAGATTTAAACATTTCAACACAGAGATCTTTGTCCAGATGTTTTACTGCCGACTTCTATTTATTCAGATTAAAGTAGCTTTCATCAAGCCCAAATGACCATGACTCCTCCACCATGCCTGACAGTTTGAGGAATGTGTGCTGTTAGTTCATTAGATTTGTGTAAGACAAAACACAGACCACTTTTCTTCTAATCCCAAAACTGAATAAACTTTATAGAAATGGCGCTTTCCGAGAGCTCACCTGTGAGAATCCCAGAGATGGAGGTCCATAGTCACTCAGGATGGGCCTGTAGGACTGCAATGTAGCCAGGTTAGCTGCTGAGGGGGAAGGAAGGTTTCCAGCTGTTGGTACAAAAAAAAAGAGAGAAAATGTCACAGCTCCTTACTGAGGTGCAACACTGATGTATGAGCTGTTTTTATGCCATTTTATTTTCAATGTTGTTTGAATACAAGCATAATCAGTAGATTTTAAATGCAGGAAGTTTGGGTGTAACAACAGTGTCAGATTTGTAGGTTCATACAGAAAAAGTGTCCAAGTGTTGAAAATATGTATAAAAACAAGATTAATCATAAAAGTAAGATTAGTTGTAATTAATTAAATATATAATCAAATATTAACTGGCTATGTTGAGTATATATATAGAAGGTAACCGTACTAAAAAAATGTGATCGTGAACCCCGTTAGCCCTTCACCCCGGTGCTTTGTCTGCTTGTAATATTCCCTCTCCACCACCAGATGTCCTCGAAGAGACATAAAATTTCTCAGAGGCAGATCAATCGGCAGCTCCGACCGAGGAGCATCATGGAGGAAACGGAACAAGGCTGGCTAAAGAAGACATAAGTGATACATTTTTGTCACCGTGGAACCGCAACCCCACGGCGGGACCGCGGCCCCGGACCACCGAGAACCACATTTTCGGAACCCCCGACGCCTCGTCTCGCCTCCCGACCGCGTTTTTCCGCCGTCTCGGCTCACGGATGGCGCTCTTTTACATTAGTAATAATGGCGGATATGAATTAGCCTAGCTCCCAGGATCTGACCCTATATATATAACTGGACAAAAACTACAGACACGGTCTTTCTCCAGGTATTCTCCGAGACCCCGAATTTAACACTCGATTTAACAAGCGGATACTTTGATTTTCTCCCACATTTTCTCCTTACCCTGGTTCCCAGAAGTTCCCGGAATGTGCTGATGGACATTGGGTTTGTAAGACATTCCCAAAGACATTGTAAATTAAAGAAATAAAAATGACCCGAAATTCAGTGAAGCGTCTGTCTCTCACTTTTTGTTTACAACAGCGGCACCGGCAAATATGGCCGTCACTTTATATTGACACCCACAGCGCTTTCTAACACTGCCGCCATCCAATGCGGCTTTATCAAGAAAACGACTTAAAAACGGGATTTCCACCATGAAGGCGAGAAATTCGCACGCAGCCGAGCACGCGTTTTTTTTTTTTTTTTCCTCCTTTCTGACATTTAACAACATTGATCAGAAAGTTAACTCCAGTCCCACACTTTTGGAGGACTTTAATCAGGATCTAGCTGTGGAGTAATTAAGACGGGAAAAATGTTTTTGAAGCGTTACATTTGCATTTTTTTACAACAGAAAAGCGTGCTTCAAGGCAAAACATGCGACTTGATGTAAATATAACGAAATAGTTTAGACTTTAAATTCAAGCAACTATATATATATATATATATATATATATATATATATATATATATACATACACACACACACACACAAGTATGAAAGAAAAAAGAAAGAATGAAAGCAGTGATACCTGACTTTGTTTGTGGAGGAGTATCCATGGCTTCACCGACTCACTCATCAGTGGATTCAGGAGACATGTGGCCGTCTTCCATGTGAAATAATGGAGTCTTTACAGGGCTCTTTATTTCCCAGGAGTCCCTGGAGGCCACATGGTTGGTCACAATGTCTGACCCCTCAAGTCAGGACCCCAGAACCCAGACGGGATTCCTATTCTGCAAATCTATTTCAAACTAGTTTAAGCGTTTTTTTTTTTTTTTTTTTTTTTTTGTTAAAGTATAGAAGTTGCCAAAATAATAAACACCTAAATGTCACTGGAATTCATAAAAGAGCTGAATGATTTAAGCTTTGGCTTTCATTGTTCTCTATTAATTTAATTAATATGACATTCTGAGGTAAGACTAATTCACTAGTTCTGGAGCACATATAAAGATTTTAACTGACTGCAGCCATTCTCTACTTTGAAGAGCTTTGCTTATGTTTAGATTAAGTATTAAGATGATCCAATAAATAATCTAGGACAGCAAATGCTCACAAAAATGCAACATTTGTAAAGGAAACTTAAGAAAACATACTTTTGTAAATTAAGCCTTAAACTATTCACACCCACAGATTTTTCCCCTGCTTTTTGCTTTGTGAAGGTCACAAAATTCAACAGATTCCTCTAGGATTTTATGTGGCAGACCAACACAAAGCAGTGAATGGTAGAGAAGTGGGAGGGCGACGATGCAGGAGTTTAAGAACTTTTTGAAATTTGTTTTTAAATAGTACCTGATTAACCTTAAAATCAAAAGTAACCAATGACATTTATGGCTACTCGATCAACCTGTGTGATTTAATCTCCTAGCTAAATGCCAGCATACAGTAGAATTTTATTAAAATACAAATACTCTGGGGGGTTTTAGCAAAAAAAACAAAACAAAACCCAGAGTATGAATACTTTCATAGAACATTCAAACAAATGACAATAAAATATAAAAGCTAATATGTTGTGATCGTAAAAAATTAAACGAGATAGAAGTATACCAAGCTTTTATTGAAGATGCATGTACACGCAATGTTGAATTTCTGTATGTCAGTAGTGCAACTCGTGCAATGAACAGGAAGAAAAGAAAAAAAGTTCAAGGGTTTTAAAGTTAGAAGGATCTAGTGGCATTCAAACAAACAAATTACTCAGCCTCTTATATACACACATACACACACACACAACACCCCAGGAGTCAAAACATGGGGTGCTGGCTTACAAGGTGCACATTCAAGTTTAAACACAGAAGCAGTACCTTCCCCTGGTGTCCAAAGAGATGTGCTGCATGAAGGTTTCCAAACTGTACAAATAATACAAAGCATTTTCCAAACGCGTCGTCAGTCAGGAGAGGAGGCAGACTTTGTGAATGGAGCTGTGTCTAATCCACAGGGTCAGGATGCATTCCTCCCTTAACCAAAAAAAAAAAAAAACACATCCTGGCTTTTTATTCTTCAGTTTCAGTAAAGCTCATGCACCCAGACGGTGTGTTCTGTCCCATTTAGTGCAGATGATGTAGAATATAATACAAAACCCAAAAGGTTCACAAGAGGCGCGCAAGTCCACAGAAACGGGATTAGATGTGAACCGGACTTGAGGGGATGGGTTTGGGAAGCGGAGAGGTGGGGGGGAAATATGCACAACGAAAAGAGAAGCTTCAGATATTGTGACGCTGTGAGAGGGCCATTGTAGATGGAGATAAAAGGAGTATATTTCTGCAAAAAAGAAAAAAAGAAAAAAAAAAACTTACATTTTGAGATTGATCTTAGAAATTTTCTAGGAAACCCCTCCGACCCCCCAGAAATGTCTGAATTTCAAAAGTTGCAATTTTTTGACTTTTGAACATTTGCTGAGCTTCAAAAGTAAAAAATTTGACTTCAAACTCAAATTTAAGGACTTTTTAAAACAGAAAAATTCTGAAAATCTAGCATTTTCTCAAAACTGTTGAAATTTTCAGAAATTTTCTATAAGAAACAAGCCCCCAGTTTTTTTGTGGAAATTTATTTATTTTCATCTATAACAGTCCTAATACGGCGTCACAAAATCCAGTTAAAGATCACTGAAAAATGGTAAATAAAAAAATCTGGTCAGGCATTTCACATACACTATTTTTGAAACAGATAAACCCCTGAGCTGTTTATTTGTAAAAAGCAAAACAATGTTTAATGACTGGGTCTCTTCATATTTTTAAGAATCCCTTGGCTGACTATATTTACTTATTTCCTCACCTTTGCTTCACACAGCGTAGCAAAATATTTGGAACAGCAAATAAAGCAAAATAAATGACATTTAATAACTGATTAGCAGTAATGTAGTGATAGACGTTGAGTAACTTATTTGTCAAAGAATAGAAACTGCATTCTGGACCCCAGATATTACTATTATCTTTTAATAAATGAATGGCAATATTTAAAAAGAAAAATGCAGGGGAAGAAATGCCTTTAAAAAAGTTACATGTATACCACTTAACACTAAATGATATATATAGATCTCAAACCATTTATTTCACTTCTTCATACTGCTTACAAAAAATGAAGAATGAAACTCAGACACTGAATTCAACTAAAAACTCACTGAACTTCCTGTTTCAGTAACGACTTTATGATTTTCTTCCTTTGCTAAAGGAGGAAAAAGAACTAACACGAGGTTCATGTAAATACTAACGCTGTCCTTCCTAACGCAGTATGGATGTGTTCGACAGCTGACTTTGTTTTACTAAATGTGTTTTTTCTAGGAAAAAGTTATGAATTCCAAAATAAAAACAAATCTACAGAGCTTGCTGAAGTAGTTGAGACCCGTTTGCAGAAAACAGAAAAACAAATTGGTCTATGTGAAATGCAAGCTGACCCTCACCATAATGTAGTTTTGGTCTCTTTGTGATTGTGAGGATTATAGCAGGAAAGAAATTCGTCCCAATGAGGTGACCTGAATCAAATGGCAGATAATGGTCAGAAATAATATCCCTCTGCTTCTTTAAGGGGTTTTTGTTAACTATCCAGACGATGGTTGAATATCAGTCGGCCGTAGAAACGAATCCTCTCACTTTCAGAGGTATAGTGGTTTGGTTTCATTCATCTTTAGCCTGGACCCGGGAAGTTTGGGTGTTTTTTGCTGAGTGCCCAATTTGAACAGAACAGACTGGAGTTTTCACGGCGTGTCTGGACCGGATCACTAACCTCACTCTGAATATCAGAGTACAACACAACAGCGTCAACAGGTTGGGAGAACGACTGACTGCCGTTTTACGTCCCAACAGTCGGCACAGCCAGCCTTCGGGCCCTCAGGGGACAATGGTGGAGCAGTGAGAGGCGCAGCCCTGAAGCATGCAGCGCACCGAGACACGGCTGGAGCCGGAGGCCTCCTGAGTGGACCGTAGAGTCAGGGCGGAGTCTGGGCTCAAACCACCTCATTATGTGTTGAGCACATGAGTAAGACTTTGAGGGTGGAGCAGCTGCCTCTTCTGCTGCTCCTGCACAGCCAGCTGCTGGCTCTGGTCTGAGGTCGAGAGCTTGTTGATCAACGGAGAGACGCAGTTCGCTGGAATGATCAACCCTAAGAGAGGAGGAGGAATTATTACTTATTAAAATAACTGACTAATCACAATTAATCAATTCTTAACATATCCAATGAATCACAATTGATTCTTAATATAAAGATTACAAAAATGGTCAATTAATAGTGATTAATCAATTATTAAAATATCAGATTAATCAATTATTCAAACAATTGATTAATCGTTATTAATCAATGATTAAAATAAGAATAAAACAATTTAGTAATTGATTAATTGTTAACTGGAATACACAGACTAAAAAAACACCATTGATTGAAAGAACAACATATTCAGAGCAGTAATTAATCAAAAACTGTACAAAAATATAAATTTTGCGTTTTAAAAAATAAACCCTTCCTTGTCTGTAAAAATGTCGAACCCAAAACTCTTCAAGTGGCACTTTTAGCCTCCCCTGGTTTAAGTCCTGTAAAGAGTTATTAATCGGTTAATTAAGAAAATAAAATAAGGTTATGTGGTTAAGTGTAAAATCTCCATGACGTGCCAATTTTTCTTTTATCCGATTAACTGGTTAATCATCAGAATAATCGATTACTAAAATAATCGTTAGTTGCAGCTCTAAAATTTTTGTCATAATAAAAAACGTGGGTTTTCTGGGGAGAAAGCAAATTCTTCAGAGTCTTTCCCAATTGAAGTTGGGAAAGCAGGTCAGCTTACCAACTATCCTCTGACCGTCTTCAGTGCGCAGGCGGACAATCTGCACCTTCACGTTGCTTCCGCTGACTGGAGAAAGAACTTCTTCCAGTTCGTTCCACACGCTGAGCACAGAGCCACACAGAACGTAGTACGTCCTGCAGCGCAGCCCGATTTCACACAGCAGACCAACTGAGGCTTTCTTGCAGTTGCCACGCCTAAAGGCAGATTCAAACAGCAGATTAAGGAAGTCGTTTCTTAACTTGTGAGTTTGAGACGCTGCTAGTGAAAGATAAGTGTGTAAAGTGTACACACCAGTACGCATGAGAGCATATTTTTGCTGATGACTGGTACTGGTCAGTCCAGTGCTGCTTGGCATCTTCTGACAGAACCTAATAGAAGAGACAAAAATAAAAAACTGTTACCAGGATTCATAAAATATTTAATGTTTCCATGATTTCAAACAGAAGCCAAACCTTCTTAAACTTCTTTTTGATGTCGGCGTATGTTTCCAGTTTGACTTGTCTGCCAGTGTTTGGCCTGTAGACCAGGAACAGCCTCTTCTTAGTGTTCACTTCCTTCACCAGGATGGCTGTTTTCCTGTTATTTCTCATCTGAAATCATGCACAGAAAAAGAAGGGAATAATGGAATCCTGGCTTAGCAATATCACTGACAAATATGAAGAAAAAAAAAAAGAAAAGGTACAATCTTTGGGAGAAAATCTGGATTACATTATCATTGGACTTGAGTTAAACTGCTGTTTTTTTTTTTTTTGTCATACCACACTGTCACTATGAATTTTATTCACCCAGTTGCCTTAAAGAGCTATAAGTGACTTAGGGTGGGAGTGTCTTGCCCAACGGCACAATGATATTAATTAAGGAGGCTGGAATCTAACTCAACCCGTCAATTTCAAGTTGACTGATCTTCCCACTGAGCCACAGCTGAACTAAATGTGAGAAAAGTACAACAAAAAAAGAATAATAAATGTGTCGAGCAAGCAATAAAAAAAAACCCCTAAAAGAATACGTCAGAAAAGTTGAAGTGACTCCAAAAAATGTCTTGATTGATAAAAAGATTATTTTAGACTAGACAATGCTGATGTTTATTATTCACTTACGTAAAAAGTCCTTAAAACCAACCTCTAAATTCAAGCACAAACATGGAGCAGAATCAAGGATAAAAAATGTTTCAGATTATAAATGGAAAACTGTCAATAATTATGAAAAAGTCCAGAAATCCTGCAAGATTTCAAAAGCTGAATGTAAGCAAATCAATTTATTCTTCATAAAAACAAAAATAATAAAATAAACCCCCATTGGATTCATAATATAAGTAATGCAAAAAATAAATCTCATTTTCTATCATTCTCTATGTGAATTCTCATTTACGGTATAACTTACTCTAATTTCAAGGACCTTTAGCACAGATTGTCTAGTTACCAAACACACACTGTTGCTGCTGAGTGAGATACAGCGTTAGCTCTTCTGTCAGTATGCTGTGTGCGACAACTTTTGGCTCAAGAAAATACAAGTACACAACATAATCATCCTCCAGAAACAAAAAGTGCAAAACAGCTGAAACACCGAGTTCCTTTAAATCAAGGTAAAAACCCAGCCTGTTCAGAGCTGCTTTGGAACCATAATAAATGAACATTTACCAATATTTTGATGTCCATTAATGATGGCACTCATAACAATGTAATGATTGTTCCTGGTTTTCTTAGTTGTTCACCATGCCTTTTATGACTTTGTATTTTTATGATGTACAGCAGTTTGAACTGATTGATAAAACAAGTGGAGTAGGCATGGTGGAGTCTTCAAAACTTTGACAATTTCTAGATTAACTATGTATCATTTTTCCATTTTAACAATGCAATGTAGACTTTTAAATATTTCTGTAATCTTTAAAACATCTACAGTAAAAATAATTAGAACGACTTGATAAATGTGACCCAAATGCAGTCAAGATAGTTTAATAATGCAGAAAAACTCACTTTCAAATCTTCCCTTTTAACTAAGAGCATGTCTCATAATTTCCTACCTGGACATAGAAGCCATCGTCTGGGCCGTTCTGCTCTGCCCAGGCGTGTGTCGCTTCTTCCCAAGACATTCCTCTTTCCACGCCGACCTGTGAGGTGAAACATGAACAGAACGTCAGCTGACGTTTCATCTCTCTGTGATCTGATTTTTATATCATAAATAGAGCAGGACTTACGGTGTAGAGTTCTACGTGTCCTGATGTAGTGTAGCCTGGCGTCAGAAACTTTCGACAGTCCGCCTTCTTCACCTTCTCGTCACCCGAGCCGAGATCTAACATACGCCAGGGGAGAATGTTGGAGATATTTGAGATCAAATGGGTTGTGATCATCAAGGGAAAACACGCTATGTACACACACACATGCACACACACATGCACACACAAGCCAAATGCAAGTAAAAATCCTCTGATTTGACATTTCTAATGCACTTCCTTGGGTTTGAACTTGGAGCAGATTTCTCCTAGTTTAAGATAATTGGACTTGGATTAGATGTTTTCATTTTAGAATGTTTTTAAAGTTGTTCATTTTGTTAATTAACCTAGGGAAAAAAAATAACCTGTTCAAATTATTGTCATTTAATTTGAACATTTTTTTATATTAAACAAAGCTGATAAATGCACGCAGTAGGATTGGGGTATTTATTATATTGTTTCTCATTTACCGCAATTGTTTTCTTAAGAACTAAGAATTTTGATTGATGTTTAAAACCCACTCAAAACTGTCCGGACTGATAGTTTTACCATTTTTTTCCACTGTTTGTTCAATGAAAGCATCAATAAATATCAATAAATTTTAAAATACAGCAACAGTGTGCAGCTTATTGATACAAATCATGCTTATTTATGCGACTAGTGTTCTTAAGAACCACATATCAACTGGGAATGTTTTTCAAAAGCAGCATTTCTGTTTATCTATAACATATAGTTACCTAAAGAAAATAAATTAAAAATGTGATAAATAGTTCCTACCACTTGTATTGTTATCGCGATAAAAAACCCGTCATGATACAACTTAAATTCACTGTCCCACAGCAGCTTAGGGAACAAACTAGGTTGCCGTTACCAGGGTTGCGAAACCATATGACCACTTACCCAGAATGCCCATGTCATATCTGCCATTCTTCTTGGCTTCCTGGATCACTGCTGCCAGAGTGTCAGAGAAATACTGGAACAAGGCATTTTGCTGCTGGACCTCCATGCCCAATATCCGGTTCAGGAATTTCCCTATGTTGTTGTAGTCTGCAATGGAAAGTGTTTGTTTTCATTTTGCTCTTTTTTGTTGTTGTCAGTGTTTTGGATGAGGGATTAATTTACAATTTCAAAATCACCTTTATCCAGTGTAAGCACTCCAGATCTGTCCTCCACATTTATGAGGCCCACACCTATCAACCCACTCTGAATCTCTACAGAACAGAGATGATATCATTATTGTTATTCAGTGAGGGAAGGGGAGGGGGAGGGAGACTAATGGTTTTTAAAGCGTGAAATAAAGAAAATCCAACTTGTGACTTGTACCTCTGAAGAAATCCCCTTTGAAGTCTGAGGGCGGCGGCACCAGCGGAGCGTCGAGCTTTACTATCGACTTCATCACGATTTCCAGAGCGTTTCTGCCGTACTGCAGCGAAAACACGACGAGTCAGAGCGGCTCAAACAAAGCCCAAAACACCTCTTATAACACCGGCGTTACCTTGTTGTCAAAGTTGAACCTGCTCAGATCTCTAGTTTCTGTCGCCCGTCGGTCTCCGTGAGTGAGAGCCCCCTGACAGAAAGAATCAAGTCATGTTGATTTTTATTTGCATGCATTTTAACCACATTTATATAAGTTATAAACATATGAATGCGCCTACCAGGCTTTCCAGTCTTTTGGCAACAATGGATGCAAATCTTTGCTCTCCTGCCAGTTCTGATATGAGAAAGACATACTCTGGAGCCGTGACCTGGTTTGATCTGTGTGTTCGCCCTGCGGTAGAAAAACCATTTCAGTCAATTTTATGTATACCTTTGTTTTATTTTTTTATTAATGCAACAGAACTATCAGATGTTGTAGGTAAAAGAAAGGTTGAAATATGTAATCACCAAACTGCTGTATGGCTCTGTCTGCGCTCCACGGCAGCTCCAGGGTCATGTGGACTCTCCTCCTCTGGTTCTTCACACGCCGATCGGCTTGCAGGGAAATACCGGAGCTGGCCGCTTCCGAGATGATGGCTATGTTCTGGTGGACAACAAAATGGCTGACATGTTACTTCACTACTTTTACAACACATAATGAAGTCAAATGTTTTACATAACCTTCAAATAATGTCTTGAACTCATTTTCCCAAATGCCACGACGTTCTTCCAGTTGAAACTTTTTTTTTCTTGTAACTTTATGCGTAGAAGACATTTGCAACTTTGTGTCGTTTTGTGAATCATGCTGTAAAAATGTTTTCTTCCATCTGTCACCAGAACCAATGTGGAGCAAGATGTTTTTTTAACACATAATATCTTCCACAAAGAAAAAAAAAAAAAACAAGGTACGAAGAATAGATTTGTATTACTGAAGACGTTTCTGCATTTGTCTCCGCTTTTACTCAAACGTTAAGCATCCAGACCAAATCAGAAAAACAGTCAACCCCAAAATGCCAGAAACTGTCGGCCTGGCTTATAAAGAAATGATGCAAAAAAAAAATTTGTGTGTCTTTTTGTATCTACAATTATTTAAATTATTGCAGATGTGAAAATTATTTACAGTTTTGCTTTATTGTTGAGCAAATACAAAAGCTGCAAATTTGGTTTTTAAATATCTTTTGTGGCATCTCCAAATACTTTCAACTTAATGATTTTGGCCCTCATTACAAAAAGTTAGAAAATAAAAGTAACCAGAGCCGTGGTATTTATCTCAATTTGCTGAAGAATCTTGGTCATTATTAATCTCTTGGTCATTATTAACTGTATTAATATTGATTAAGGATAAAGTTCATAGCAGCTGGCATTTAACTGAGCTAGATGAACAGGTTTGTGAATCTAAAATTTGGCCATTTGGAACATAATACTTCAGACCTAAGTGCTATCGAAACAGAGCGCTGATATTTGTCTTTTCATCAATTCATCTGGTGAAAATGGAAACTCATTTTACTGTCCTGTTCTAATATATAACAACACAGAATAAAAGAGAACCAAGTTTGACCCAAAGTAACAGACCAGAGTCCTGTCCTCTACGTTTGTAAATAATCAGTCCAAGTAACAAAGAGAGTTAATGCAAAACATCTCGTCTGGAGAGTGTTTGAATTAATGTCAAAAAATGTCATAAGTGGAAATTATTCAGTTGTTGAGACCACTGGTGTAAATGTACTTTCATCAGCTTTTTGGAAATAATGCTCTCTTGCAAAAGTGTATTCCTGTGAAAAGAAGATCTATAACATTTATATTCAAGATAATATAATGGATAATTATCCAGTTATGTGGAAAAAAGTTCTTGTAAATTTCACAGAAAGCTAGTAGGATTGAGATGAATTAAGAATATTTCATCCAGAAACATCTGGTAATCTGTTGCTCATTTAAAGCCTTTTTGACCTCGTCTCTAAATAGATTAGCAATCGAGAATCATTTGGAACCGGAATCGAAATGGGGAATCAGAACTGGAATCGTTCAAATTCAAATGATTTGCAGCTCAAATGACTAAACATTATCCTTCCTAAGAAACAGCTTCACCCTGAAGCCAGTAGTTCAGTTTTAGTCTTTTCCTTGAACAAAGAAAAGTTTACATCAATGCACCTTACAATGCTCAAATGAACCTCCAGCTTTAAGAGGAACAAAAAAGTCCTTAAATTGTTAGCATGTAAATATTGAGCAAATAAGACTCTTTGTTTGATAATTATATGAGCAGACAAGCTAAAAAATAATGTTTAAAAAGCCCACATCTGTAGGAAGCATCTGTAGGTTCCAGAATGACGACTGCCTCACCTTTTCTCCATCCATGAACCTCTGTTTCTCAGTCAGGTTGAGGATTTCTACGGGGACGTCCAGTTCAGAGCGGGACTCGTAGGTGATACTGCCGTCGTCGTTACTGACCACGCGACCTTTACGACCGGTCATCTGAAGCAGAGAACAATTATGTCGCTTTATGAACAATGGCTCAGTTAAAACAGCAGAACCAAAGCGGCGTGTGGCTGTAAAAGGCCGTTACCTCCGCCACGTTTTCCGGCCCTCCCAGCTCGTCGATCAGCTCATCCAGAGTGTTGGGAGGCAGATCTTCTGCCAATCCCTCCAGTTGTTCTAGCAGCTGTTTCTTCATTTTCTGGGCAAGTTCCACCGAGTCCTGACTCGTTAGGCAGCTTTCCTGGCTCTCTGTCTTGACTTAAAACGAAATCAGGAAAATGTTTATTTCCAGAAGACTTTTTTGCGGGATTAAGACTTTGCTGTGTACGAGGCAGCATGCTCACCGGTAGCAGGAGTGAGGGGGGGGTTCACTGAGGCGGTGAAACCGGGCCTGGTGGAGCCCAGCCCCGAGGCTAACAAGGCACTTTGAATCGAATCCGGATCAATACTCTTCCTCCTTTTCTTCTTCTTCTCCTTCTTCCCTTTCTTTGGCTCTTTTCTGATTAGCCAAGGATCTGAAAAAATGGGGTGGCAGTCTTAGTTTAACTCAAGGTTTCATCAACTCAAATTTAAGACTTTTTAAGGCCATTATGAAAGGGATTTAAGACCTGTCTCACGACAAATATAAAGAAGAAAAGTAATCAAATAAATAAATCGTATGGGCTGTCAGCAGAAGTAAGCCAACGCCGAAGACGATCGTCGTACTGATGTTCTTAAACTCTTCCTGAACTCACCGTCCTCCTCATCTTCGTCAGACTCGTCTCTGAATGGATTGAAATCATCGTCTTCGTCTCCTGAGCTGACAGACTTGAAGCTGTCGTCGCTGTCTTTCCCAGACTCTCGGTCCGATTCCTCGGACTCGCTCTCCTCTGAACTCGTACCGGACAGGCCCCCATGCTTGCGAGGCTTCTTTTTAGGCTGTTTTTTAGCCTCTGAACCTGGAGCGACAGTGAATGACAGTCAGTCATTCTGCAGTAATTCCCAAACAAGCAGCTTGCTGGTTTGGACACTTACGACACGATCGGTACACAAAAAAAGGCTTTGTATTAGGGCCTATTTTGTTCATAATTTACCTTACTGTGCTATGTAATAATCTGTCAACTGCTTTTACACAGATGATTGTGTTATTTACTATGGTTCTCATTCAATTGTTCAGTTATGTAAATTTAAACAGGCTGTATTTGTTTCAGGTTTGTCTTGAGCAACAACCCGATTTTAAATGGTGAAAAATCTTAAAAAAAAAAAAAAAAAAAAAAAAAAAAAAAATTTTGTTCCCAAAAAATTCTTTTCCCCTTTGATACAT